ATCGTAAATATTTTTGTATTAAATGTATACAATTGTCTTACTGCATTAATTTTATAATAAAATAATATTACTTTATTAATATTTTTCATGGTTTTTTTGTCGATCTCTTTTGTTTTATTTTTGGGGGGAGGGGGAAACAAAACCTTTTTATTTTGTTAGCGTCCTGGCTTTTACTATTCAATATCTTTTTTTACACTACAAAAGATCCTGAAGGATCAGTTGAGTATTTCTTTTCCAAAATCAAGAAGACTTTCTAAGTCAAGGGTCTTCAAACTTGGCAAGTTTAAGGCTTGTGGACTTCAACTCCCAGAATTCCTCAGCTAACATAACTGGAGGAAGAATTCTGGGAGTTGAAGTCCACAAGTCTTAAAGCTGTCAAGTTTGAAGACCCCTGTTCTAAATCAATCTATAGATATGCTCACACCCAATTCCACAAATCAATTCTAAACCCAGAATCTCTTTCTACAGCTTTTGTACCAAACCATGATGTGATGGTAGAAAATTATTAGTTAGAGAAAAACAACTTATCTTTGGCTTCAATGGACCAGGACTTAATTTTGTAAGGCATTATTAGCCCCTCAGCCCAAAATGCAACAGCACTCAAAGGTAATAGGTCTCCAACAATATTTCACATTTGGAGGCAAACTGAACAGGAAAGCAGGATATTTAGTGTTCCGGCTTCAGGACTGCAGGTAGCTAGCCTAGAACATCTTTGGCTGATCAGCATGGATGCTTTTAGTTCTTTGATTTAATCCTTTGGTAATATTCTATAATCTTAGATAATGGCATTGGTCCTACCTCTTCTGCACTACAGATGGATGCAAGGAATTTATTCAAGGCTGTGCAATTTTACTGTATTTCTTTAATGCACCATTAACTTTAACTCATCTAGAGATCTATTTGTATCATTAGTTGCTTAAAAGACTTCTGTGGCTCACCCTAATTGTTCCTTGGTCCTTGAACCAATTTATTTTTGCATTCCCCATTTCACTGCCTCCAACTAAATTTGCCAAGACATGAGCTTAGTCAAAATGAACTTTTGAAAGGCAGCAAGGAGGTTGTTAGTCTCTCACAATGTGACTGAGCACAAGAGCTGCACTTGTAGAGATGATAATGAATCACTTTCAGAATTTATATTAATTCACCTTTGTTACAACATTCCAGGCATGGAGTGTATTAGACTGGGAGATATGTGACTAACAGGAATATAAGCACAAATTTTGGGACAATCTATCAAGCTACCAGGACATATAGTGGAAAAATCTGAAAGAGGGATAAAAGGGACTATTTATGATAGGGGTCTCGAATCTTGGCAACTTTAAGCCTGGCGGATTCCCCAAAGAGTTGAAGTCCTCCAGGCTTTAAGTTGCCAAGATTGGAGACCCCTAATGTATAGCAACTAGTGCATAAGTGCACAAACGTGCCTACCATCCCTGTCCTATTGTCCCCAATTATTAGTTCCTATTTCTTGTAAATAAACTTATGTTTATTCTTGTTTGTTATATTGTAAGCTTCTGACAAATAAATAAATAAATAGTTGACCCAGTCCTTTCAGCAGTTCCAAGGACATTCCACCCCCATTTGCACTCTGATTCAGGTGAGCCTGAAGGCACAGATAAAACCCCAAGAGGCTCAATGGCTCTCAGAAAGAGTATTAAGGACCAGATGACTGCAAAGAAATATGATCCTTCCATTCACTTCCATCCTGCCAGAACTAATTCTTCCATCCGCCATGCTGTCAGAATTGATGTAGCTTCTTAGATGAGAAGTGAAACATCTTCCTCAAGAAGAAAACAGCTGCCTTTTCAAAAAGCACCTTTGAGACAACTATGACCTGGATGACTGAGAATCTCCAGATATCTCACATGCAAATTTCCTTGAGCGTGTGAAGCTGTCACATACAGCTGTAACTGAACTGGAATTGGGGTCTTCCAACCTATCTTTACAGCAGTTGAAGATTCAGTCTGTAGCCTGGTTCTTATATCCAAGTGCAAAAAATCTCAGGGCAACTGCTAGAGATTGTTCCAACTCATAGTCTAATCATATGAGGTAGAGAAGAAATATATGGAGAAATATATCATCTTCAGAAAAGGAAATTTGGCTTGTTTGGCTAAAGGACTGGACTGGACACTAGGAAGAATACATCTCACAACAAACAATTTTACAATATTGTGAATGAATGGAACTGATAAGAGCTAACTCCCTCCCATGGCAGTATAAGTGAGAGAAAAAGAAGTTATTTAATTTAGAATCTTGTCCTAATAATCAAAGGGCGGGAGAGACTATTATGCAACCAGTCAGTTTTCTGTATTCAACTAATCAATGATGCCAGGACTAATCACAAATGTTCAGAGCAGTTGGAAAAAAGTTATCCGATCAGAACTTGATTTCACAGCCTATTTGAATCTAGCTGTAGACATAGCACAAATCTTGCTTATCCTCCAAGTACAGGCAAAATGCCTTTCCCACTTGTTTTTCCACTAGCTGGAGTTAATAGCCACATTGCTGTGTTTCATAAAGGTTATAATGATTGTAATAGCATTTGACCCAGTACCAGCGTCTCGCTTTACTGTTGCCAAAATGTAAGGTGCAAATAATGGAATGAAGTAAGCCCTGGTTGATAAGGACTTAGGCTACAATCAATCTGACAGTCTTTAAAGATGTCTTCTGCAGCCCAGGGCTTTCAATTCCCATCATTCCCAGCCAGCCTGAATATGAATAAATCCATACACATGCACACTCTCACACACATCTTTGACTCCCATTATATGGAAACAAAATCTGCTCTTGGTGACATTTAAAAGAATCATTTACTGTAAAATAAAAGGCACTACAAAATGTACTCATACTTCTCAGGGACTGATCAAATGGTGCACTCCAGTTTTAAGGGCCAGACTGAGAGATGTTGTGTCCAGACCAAACCTCTGAGAAACTATTATTTACATTTTATTTATTCCTTTTAATGCTATCTCATAAAGCACTAATTATTATTTCCAGCTTTTGCACAGAAATGTGCATCAAAAATATTTTTGGTGCACTTTGACTCCCCAAAATCTTAGCTCCATGAACATTTCCTTCCCATTTTTCCTTTCATCAGCTTTGTCTGACTCTTATCAGGTTTCTGTCTCCTCCCTTTCTGTCCTCCTGTTTGCATGCTAAGCTTTCCTGCAGCTCTTCTCTTTCATGCGCTCGCTCAGGGCCAGCCTCTTCCACATGCAGCCGGCTGCACCATATACTGTAGCAGGAGGCTTCTTCTAATGCACAGGGATGGTGTGATTCCACCTGCCATTTCCTCCCAGCTTCTCTCCTGATCCAATAGCTACTTCCCTTCTTCACATGTGCTCACTAGCAGGAGCAAGCGGGATTCCCAGCCAAAGAGGCTGATGGTTTTCCCAGGGTGTTTCCTCGCTGTCAGCAAAGACAGCTGCACACCTACGCCTGGTTCCTCTACCTGTCAGATTGCAACTGCTTCACTGACAGGATCTCAGGAGCAAGTTGCCGAGAGGCATTCAGGTCTTGGCAAACAGCTTAGTCCAGACACTAAAAGACAGGGGAGGAGCGGGGGGAGGAAGAAGCACCACCCATACCTCCATCACTCTCCAGACCTTCAGCTACAGCTCCTGCAATGGTTTTCACAATATCACACAAATAGTTGTTCCTGGTATTTTGTTTTGGGTTTCCCAGCTGACAGCCCATTTTTCTTCTACTTGATGGTTTCCCATGCAGAGTCCTCAACATCGGGACACGGGTCTAGTTATGAATCAACAATAATTGGGGGGGACGGACTACCTGTAACTCAAACTAACCCACAGAAACAAGTCCCCTCCCCTTCCAGTTTCTCCAAAGTTTCTCCAAAGGGAGAAGTAAGATTAGGACCTTCAAATGATACGCATTCAGGATAGTATCATCTGGATCTGTTCTTCTAGAAGCAGTGTTTAATCATCTTTTATTGTTAACCTCTCTAGGTAAACTATTTGTTGCTCCTGCCTCTCAACCAGAGGATTAGTTTCAGCAGTAGGTGTCTGTAAAATTTACTCCAGATCAGCTAATTAAAAAGGAATCACAAACCTTTTCATTCGCATTTATGCAACATTTCTCCAAATGTGACCAAGTTTGACTGGCTGCTTGAATTTTTACAAAATCACACATTACATAATGCTTCCTGTTATTTATGAAGTGTTTTTTTTCCAAGCTCCCCTCCTGGCATATGTAGTATACACGCAGCTGTATTTTGTCTCAAGGCACAAGAGACCCACACACAGCCCAATTCTATCCAATTTATTCAGTAGTAAGTTCCAAAGAAGCATTGGTTGCAGCCACTCTTCTTTCCACACCAGCCTTTGACGTTTCATATTTGTGTGTTTTGCTCTTTGCAAATGAAGTAATGAGTATATGGTTGCTCACACACCTTCACAAGCCATTAGAGAACACCCAGCATTTTCACTGCAGAACAGGGTTTCCTTAACTTATGCAGGCTACCACTATTAAGCAGAGGCAGGGTTTGCCTAATTGAAAAGGCAAATTCAGAAAAGCTGTCTTTTCCTCCCAATGAAGCCCATCTAATTAAGCCCCCTCTCTTTTTTGGAAATGGCAGGAGGATTTGGAGGCTTGTAGTACAGTATATCGGCTGCACCTTATTCCACCTCCAAATCCTTTCCTAGAATTGGCAAATTTTAATATTCCCATAAATCTCCCTCTGTCCTGTCACATCTCGTTCCCCCCCCCCCCCTGCCTAACAAGAGTTATCCCAGATGCCAACCTTTAATATAATGGGGCTTTGTAATCGCAATGAAACTTAATCCCAGCGGACTTCTTATACGTCTCGTTTAAAACAAACACACACACACACACACTAAAAAATCTCCAAATGAAAATACGCCCCTCCTTTGGTCGCCGATCAGAAGGGACCCGGCAAGGGAGAGGTGGCTCCGGATAGGAAAGGACAAAATCGCAGCGAGGGGATCGAGGTGGCGCCGGGGAAGATGCGGGGTGAAACTCACCCGTGTCTTGGCGGAACTGGTGCATAGACTGGAGGTCGATGATATAAGGCGACAGCCTATTGTCCACCTGGCCCAGAACGACGCTGCCCCCAACTCTCGGCCCGGCTCTGATCACTGCTTCGATGTGGTGGCTCACGGCCGGACTGTAGGGTCTCCATCGACCGTGCTCGTTCAGCCATTCCCAAACCACCACGGCGGAAGCCAGCAGCATGATTCCTTTGCCTTCGCTCTTTAGCGGTCGGTCTCTTCCCGGAGAGTCTCCGAAACCCAGGCACCACCTCCGGCAGCCCCCTCGTCCGGTAGATCTCACCTCCCCCCCCCCCCCCCACCTCCCCGCGCCTTTAAACTCTGCAACGTCACGCCTACGGGCGGACTGGCTGCTCGCTCCTTGGACCAGTTCCAATTTGTCTTTTTCTTTTTTGACTTGTTTCTTTTTTTTCTCCGCCGCTTTTGTTCGGCTTAGTATTTTGGAGCTTGTCGGGTTAAAAATAAAAAAGAATAAGAGAGAGACTCGAGTCTTTGGGGTCCTGTTTCATGGAAAGAAGACTTTAAAAGCCTTGCAAAGCTTTCCTATTCCCAAGCAAATTCAGCAGTCTTGCTTCATCACCTGGGAAATGCGTTGCATTAAAAAAAAAAAATTACCAAGAAAACCCTTCCAGTTAAGCAAGCTGGAAAAACAGGTTCCGTTCATCTGCTCCGCAAAGTGTCTCGGAAGAGAAAATGTGTCTACTGGTACGGCAGAAGGCGACTCAAAGTTACACCAGTTGCATCTTCTCCTACTCTGCTTTTCCCTCCCCTTCTCTGCGTTTGCGCGAGGGAGGGGTTCTTTCGGACAAACCCTGCCAGGAATTTCATGCTCCGATGTCTGGGGTCTCCCCCCGACCCCCTCCCGCTTCCCTGGGGAGCAGATGCAGCAATCGTTCCGGCTCCACCTCCCTGTTGCTTTTATGCCCTCTTCTTTCTATATACCGATCCCGGGGTGAGTGGGGCTTTCTCGACACAGCGGGAGGAACGCAAATCTCCCCCCCCCCCCCGCGCATTGCCCCTTGTCCTCAGCCGGGAAACAATAACCCGTTGCAGCGCAACGCCAGGCTCCCTGCTTCTCGCAACCTGGCCCGCCGCCGTTACAACTTCCCTGCCTTTGCAAGGATTGTGGGAAGAGGAGCCGCAGCACCAGGAGCCCCAAGAACCGCGACGTCTTTGCTCTCCCTTCCTTTCGCTCCTCCCACCATTACCTCATCCTCGGCCCTCCGCCCCTAAACCCTCCCCTCTGCTCAGCCTCGAGCGCCCTCTGCTGACGCGGATAAAGCCAACAGCTGGTGCGGGCGGCACTGGACCACCACATCCCCAAGGCGGGGGTGCCCGATCGATTGCCACACCGCGAGGTGGGACGAGGAGATTGCCACACCGCTGGCCAAAAGAAGCCCGCCTCCTTATTGGGATCAGCCTGGCCATTGCTTTTCACGCGTTGACGGAGCGCAGCCTTCAGCGCTGGCAGAAGCGACACATGGGGGGCTGGGGGCGGGGTGAGGGTGGGAGGCAAATGGATATGAGAGTCGCAGTCGCCCCGTCACAGCTGGGGCCAAAATTGGTGACAGGGATCAATTATTTCCAGCGGCCGCCTTGGCCTTATGACAGGCATAAACGTTTGTTGGATTTTAAATGTAGTGCATTTTTGTGCACCATTGTGCTGCTTCGGAAAAGGCAGTGTGTACAAACTTTTTGTAAACTCCTGGCACTGCATCCTTCAAAGATGATAACATTTCCAAGTTAGAATTATTTTCAACAGCTACTGTACTTTCAGGGTCTTTATTATTATTATAGTTGGTGATGGAGTCAACTAGTTGTTGAAAGTGGCATTTTGGCATTTTTGTCTATCGAATTCTACCTGGGATGGGAGGGTGATATTCTTTCTGATGTTGTTGTTGTTGTACACAAAAATGACAGTATACACGGCAGATGAGATAACCGTGCTGGATTTCGTATCACAAATCACTAGTCGAACACTTCCCAAGTGTTTAGGACTGCGTGATGTATCGGCGGATTATGCAAGCAGATCCCAGTAAGGTGGCCTTCTGCAGCTGACCAACTGATCTTGTCAGCACCAATTGTTTTTTAGTGCTTGCCTAGGTCTTTAGGCACAGCACCCAGCGTGCTGAGTACCACTGGAACCACCTGCACTGGTTTATGCCAAAGTCTCTGCAGTTCGATTCTCAAGTCCTAATATTTGGTGACTTTTTCAAGTTGTTTCTCATCGATTCTGCTATCACCAGGTATGGCAATGTCGATGATCCATACTTTTTTCTTCTCCACAATTGTGATATCCGGGGTATTGTGTTCCAGAACTTTGTCAGTCTGTATTCGGAAGTCCCACAGTAGTTTTGCATGCTCATTTTTGACCACTTTTTCACGCTTATGATCCCACCAGTTCTTTGCTACAGGCAGATGGTAGTTGTGACACAAGTTCCAGTGGACCATCTGAGCAACTGTGTTGTGACGTTGTTTGTAGTCAGTCTGAGCTATTGTCTTGCAACAGCTCGGTATGTGATCAATAATAATAATAATCAATTGATCACATGATCACATGATTATTATTATTATTACTATTACTATTATTATTATTATTATTAGGCATCCTTGAACCAGCCTAGACAAGTTTTCTTGTCAAGATTTTGAGAAGTGGTTTCCCATTGTTTTTCTCTCCAGGAGAGGGAGAAAGTGGGAGACTTATGCTACCGTGGTTTCTGTTCTGGTGCTTTAATTGCTACATCGAAATGACTTTCAATTCTGAACTATTTACTATTTATTCCAAAGTATTCTTTTTTGTTTCATGTCAAACATTGAAGACATACGACTATAAATTTTATGCATATCTGAACTTAAATTGGAGAATGTGCTTAGGAGTATGGGACCTCCAGAATGTCTCTTTGCCCTCATGCCAAACTTACAGATTGGGAAGCCACAGCACAAGATGAAATAGACTGGCTACTGATCAGCAAAGAAATTAGACACGGCTGTGTACTTTCTCCTTATTCGTTCAGCCCATGCTAAATATACATTTATGGAAACTGGATTAGAGCAAGATGAGTATAGGGTTTTAAATTGGAGGAAGAAACATTAATAACCTGCACTCTGCTGATGAGACTACTTTGATAGTTGAAAATACAAATGATCTGCTAGCTCTACTAATACAAGTCAAGGAACACAGCAAAAAAAGGATTAAGATTAAATATGTAGTAGATAAAACTAACGGTAACAAGTGCAAGCAGCCAGGGACTCAGACTTCCCAGGAAATTAGAGTTTTTACTTGAGGCACAAATGACCAGGCTGTAACTATTATACTGCATTATGTAAAGGTTTAGTTATCTGGAGGAAGGTGAAAAGAAAGAGAAGGAAACATTGGCCAGGAGCAAGGTAGATGGACTCAATTACAGTAGCAACAGGTGCACTGTTGAAAGATCTGAAGGACCAGGTTGGACACTGATCACCCTGGAGAAAATCTATGTGGTCACTGAGAGTTGACACCAACTTGTTGGCACAGAAGTTAAACTTACACTGCGTACCAAAGAAGCAATAATTGGTATCATCCAAATGCTACAAAGGGCCTTTTCAGAGTAGAGCCTATAAGAGCATCCATGTACATATGAACAAAATGGGAAATTTGTCACCAATTAAAAGTATATGTATAAATGCATATTTAGACATTTTTATTGATATATAAGTTTGCCACAGTTCTTTGCAATAGGATTGTGGGCAGTGTTGTATATTATTCAACTGGCTGGTCTGAACTGTAAATGTTTGGGCTCCTTCAACACTCCCAAGCAGTGCTCCTTATGTTCCTTTCTCTTTCAAATCAGAATTGGACTCTCAGAATCCTTCAGTAAACCACCAATTGGCAGCTCCTAGGTCACAAATTGCATCTAACCTCAGTTTCATGCCATTGATATTTAGGAGCAAAATAGCTATTTTTTGTAGCATTGTTTTAAGTTTTCTTTTTAAAAAAATAGATTTGAAAATACCTATAAGTCCCATGTTTTAAAGCTATCCTGTGTTTTTAAAAAAATATTCTCTCCCAAAATGGATAAAGGAACCCAAAGTTCATCTGTTCTTATTCATGAGATGTTCTATGTTCAGTGGCCATCCTTACTGTGACCCATAGAAGCAGAAAAAAGAGATTCTACCCACACACAAAAAAATTGTCCATTTCTCTACAAAGATTGACTGATGAAGTTGGTTTCATGACTGCTCCAATTTCCCTGGTTCCAGACATCCCATTTCATGTTGATCAACCCATAATGGTTTGATAAATAGAACCTTTGACTGTAGATCAACAGCCTCAGCCATGTCATTAATCCAAAACATCATTTAGGAGTGATCTTCCTGTGGTGTATTTTATATGAAGGTGATGGCAATATACTTTGAAGTATCTGGGCTTAAAATGGTTATCCTTGATTCATTACAGCTTCCAAAAATGTTCTCATCATCAGATATTCCCCCAAGCCACATGTAAAAAATTAGGACGTAAAAATAGGGCTACAAGCTGGGGAATTTGATTTCATTAAACAGCTATGTTTAAGATATACCCAGATGATACAGATCTTAGACGCACCTTCAGTGAGACTCTTGCATCATGCATCTAATATTAGATATGTTGCAGTAGAAATGATACCATCGGAGGATCTGTTTTGCCTGTGTTTTCACTGCTCTATGGCCTCTTTGGTTTTTTTTTCTGGACATACTTAACTTAATTGGAAAGGGATGGTCAGCATTATTCTCTGTTCTGTTTTGCTTAAAGCATGGAAGGAATATTGGTGTTTGATTGTAACATGCAGTTTTTATAAAGACCAGGTTTGGTGAGAAATTTCTGTCCTGGGATTTTATTGTCACAATGGGGAAGAAGAAGCCTTCCTTAGGATCGCTCAGGAGCTAGCAGAGAGAAGAGGGGTATCTACAGTCTTAAATATTTTTCAAAATCAGTATGTTGCCCCTGGGTGGATAAATGTACCCAGTGAAGCATGACATACTATTGTTAGATATAAGGATGTTCTTGTGATATAATATGCTGCTGCACCTTCATTTGGTTGTATGGTTTACAGTAGGGATTGAGAGCTTTTAGTCGCAGGGCCACCCACATCCCTCACCTTTCTTTCTCTAGCCACCAGAGCTTTCCCTGGCTCTTATTGAAAATTGGGAGCATTGTTTTTTTTTATTTTAGTTTTTTTTACTCTGCCTTATTTTTATAAATAATTCAAGGTGGCGAACAATCTTACTGCAGATAGTCCTCGACTTAAACCATTCAT